TTATTCAGGATTAGGACTATTACACTTGTCATGTGTTCCACAAATAAATTAATTAAATTTGTACAGACATTTTTGCAAACAACTGCTGAGACTAATAAATTAAAATTTGTAATTTTTTTTAACAATTTTACAGTTCACAAAAATGGACACAAAGGCAAACTGGAACATTAGCAAATATTTATTTAAAGTATTATGCAAATATTTTCTCCTTACCTAATCTGCTTATTTTGGAGATTTTATAAGCTCCATTTCTGTATTTGACTAAGAAAGTTAGTTAATTTTTTTCTTTTATAAGTTAAGTTTTTTCTAATTATCCAAGGAAAGATATTTTCTGTATGAAAATCATTATTCCTTTATAGTTGCATGGAAATTAGATTACCTTCTCTACATAAACTTAACCTTACCAGATGTGAAGTGTACAACTGTATATTAAATTTTATAATTTAGAGAAAAATATAATTCTCACTCAATTTCATCACTTTTTAGCTCAAATATTTTTTATAATTGATATCATTATGTAACATTTATTTAGTGTGGGTAACACACATAAAATTAAAAAAATATTCCATCCTTCATTTCTGTATAGCTCCGAGGAGTCTTACCTATAAAAAACACATTTAGAATTTTTTTCCCATTCATATGTATAGATTCTGATAAGATACTTCCCCCTTTTCACAAGATTAGCTATTCTTGTTCATTGCTGCCCTCTATATGCTAAGTTTTTATTACGCATGCCACAAGCCTTCCGCACCTTTCCTATTGAAATCAAGTGATTCCAACGTGTCTCTCATGCAAATCGTCATGCATCACTTCTCCACCAATAGGAGAATAGTACACTCACGTGACACACGTGACTCCCTCTTTGTGCCTTTACTGAACTGTCACTTCTTGTTTGGCAGCATTTGCACTTGGATATCTTTCTTTTTTTTGTCTTCATTGGTGTTTGAGATTGCATTAGTTCTCAAAGTAGTTTAATTTTACATACTCAGTTTTTAAAAGCATTCAAGTTCCATTACCCTTATTCTAGTTACATTTATTTCTTACTTCAAATGCTTTTTTCAACTGACACAACATGAATTCTGAAGTTAATGTCACCACCTCGGATGTCTCACATTTGACAGGTGCTTTAACACAGGCTTTCAGGTGCTGGCAACCCGTTGGGAGATTTTTCTACGTTTATTTGCAGGGAGATTGAACATTATATGGGCCAATCTATATCTCCAGACATTGTCCCAATTCCTCCTGAACCTGTGGAACCTGGGCAGGCTGACAAGGACTTTGATCACCTGTTTCGACATCCTGAATTTGCTGTGCTTTCCCATACCCTTCCTGTAGATCCTGTTTGGCCCTCCACATTTTTTTCGGGCTTTATTTCTCAGGTATGTGATGTTTTAACCCTTTCTCCCATATCTTATGACTTGAGTCCTTCATTACTACATGAATATTCTTCCCAACCCTATTTGGTTTTTTCCCTCATCCCCTGACAATCGGGTTCATTCTCAACAATTTGCCTCTCAGTTGGGCAATGGCATTAGTATGCTTCTTCCCCCATGGGCTTCAGATCAGTCTGCCCTCACCTATCATAGGGTTTACTGTCCATATCTTTACCAACAACTGTTTGGTTCTGTTTTACCCATTTGGAGGGGCAGGCCCCAAATTTCTCGTTAGTCTCACCCATGCCTAATTTTCCCGCCTCTGTCTTACCTTCACAACTCTTTTGCGGTATCTTTCCACAATCCATCTCCTGTCTGAGGCTCTTCACAGAAATCCTTAGGAATTTTCTGGGGACATCCTCTTACTCTTTACCTCCAGGAAGCTTTGAAATCTGTGGGGTTTTCCTCACATTGATGCATTCACCACCTGTCACCCCTCTTTCTGTCCCTGGTACCTCATCCTCAGGCTTTGGCTATAGATGCCTTCAGCCAGGATTGATCACACAAATTCCTATGTTTATCCTCCTATCTGACCGCTTCATCAGGTAGTTTCCCTTATCCATGCCATTCTGTGCCGGGTCTTTCTGATCGCTCCATACTGGCTGGCTCAACCATGGTTTCCTCATTTACTCCAACGAGAATTATTCCCTCCTGTACCACTTCCATTCTTACTTGACTTCCTTCATCAACCCCAGTCACCGGTTCTGCATCCCTCAATTCATGTCCTCCATCTTCATGCCTGGCTTTTGTTCAGTCCTTGGTGATGAGATCTGGCTTCTCCCATCATGTAGCTTTTCATTTGGCTCAGTACATCCATCCTTCCTACATGGAAGTGTATCAGCGAAAGTGGATGGTCTTTTGCACATGGGTTCAGGCTTGGGGATTTCCTGCTGCTATTCCTACTGTTTGTTGTGTCTCTCCGAGTTTCTAACGTGGCTTTTTGTCCAGGGGTCTTCGGTCTCCTCAGTTTCAGGTTATTGAGCAGCTTTATTCCATACCTTTTCTCTTTCCTGTTACTGCAGGATGTTTCTCTCATCCATCCTTACCATGATAATTTGTTCCTTCTAGATTTTTCGACGTCCTTGATGACCTGCTCTTCAGGATTGGGACATTAATGTGGTCCTCCATTCCCTTACTTTACCTCCATTCAAACCTATTTCCTAATGTTCTTTGTTTCACCTGTCCTTATAGGCATATTTCCTTCTCCTTTTGGCCTGTGGGTTTTGATGCTCTGACTTGTTCACCATTGATGTTACATGCACACTTTACCCCCATACCTATCTTCTCCTTTATCCGGATCGTTCCTTCCTACCCAAAACCTCGGCTGCTGTTGAGGGTAACTCCTTTTTCTCGCCTATTTCCCTTCCCTCTATTTCTCATCTCTACCCACATCATGATCTGGACAGACTGTCCTGTACATGCCCTTTGTTGTTATAATGCCTGCACGGCTTCCTTCCATGGTTCCCGTTCCAGTTTTTCTTTATCCCATGGCTACCCTCTTCATCCAGAGATCTCTCCCCTTTTACCTTCACCAGTTGGGTTTGTCATTTGATCCAGCTGGCTTATTTCTCCTTGTCCCCTTCCCACCGTATTTCGTTCTGTGTTACCTCTGATCAAATCTGACACCTCACCTTTTCGCTCGCTTCTCATCTGTGTCGGCCTTTGGAGGAAATCCTACAATCAGGCATGTGGACCAACCCTAACACATTAATCTTCGATTATTTACATCGTATCGCAGATTCAGCTTCCTCAGGGTTTCACCTTCCACCTGTGGCTGTACTTAAGACTTTGGTGCCACACTGACACTGGGTAAATCTTTATTAATAATTTCATTTCTTTTAGGGGCCCATTCTTCATACCTTCATTACTTGAATCCCATTCTGTGGTGAGTGGTGTCTGAGCAGGTATTCTTTAACTCTAAATTTGCATTGTATGCCATGTTGACTAGGGCTTTCCTTTACATGGCTTCACACACTCACCTTTGAAATGAGGTGTTTCACAAGATCTCTCGTAGGTAAACAACCTCGTGATATTTGCTTCATAAATTGGCTATCCCAGACTGTACCCCCCATAAGCAGAAGGGGATAGCTGCCCATCCCTGCCATGCCTTGATTGAATAAATCAGTATGGTCTGCTTTTCAAAATAGGGTTTTGTGATCCCCATTGCACTGTCTCTGTTGTTGACTTTCCTCTGGGCTCTCCAACAAATTCTCATACTCCCTTTTCTTCTTGTGGAATATGGGAGTCCTTACCATTTACCAGTTCTAAGCTACTGGGATGGTCGACCATGGAGTCCCCTTGCTGGATGGGTTCCACATAAGATGGATATAACCATTCAGTTCAACATAGGGTGGTGGTGTTCTGCCAGTGTAGATGACGTAATATCCTCTGATTTGTGATTAACCATATAACGGAGTGAGATGTCAAAATGCAGTTCACCCCTTTGATTGGGAACCCTCATCCTACCCCATGGGCTGGTTTTGGTTTTCAAGTGAACCAGTCAACATAAGACTTGTGGCATGTGTAATAAAAAAGTTTGCATATAGAGGGCAGCAATGAATGAGAATAGTTAATCTTGTGAGAAGAGGAAAGTACCTATCGGAAATACATTTTCAGTATAGGAAGATTATCTTTACATTTAGTAAGAAATTATTATCTCTTCAAAATGTATTTCTTTTTTATATAATTTATCCTTCTTTATCCAATAATTATATTACTACAACCCTTCATTACCACCTTTTTTATGGTGTCATAGCATGTGGTTTTAACAATTACTAATGAAGCATAGTGTTGAAGTAGCTACAGGCAGTGTGTTAAGTACAATTGAATAGAGTAGGTTATAAACTGTTTATTTCAATATGGATCAAATAAAATTCTATGAGTGGAAATGTTTGGTTTCAATAGCAAGCGACTGCCAATAATTCTTGTGGTGTCTTGAAACAAAAGTTTGGAAATTGCACAGCTTAAAAAGTGAAAGGAATACTAAATCAAATTTTATGGATTTTTAAAGAACATGTGTACTAGGTTGCATGCAATTTGAATAAGCAATTCCATTCTGAGAAGAAAAGACCTGTGGAATCCCAGTGCACCTCACCGTACTGAAAAGGTTTAAATTAATGTCAAACAAAGCTTCATAAAAGTTTCTGAGTTTACTTCTTGAGCTGTAAATAACATGACTTTCAGGGGTTACATTGCTTATACTTAAGAGTGAGCCTTTTTTTTTTTTTTCCAGTCAAGAAAATTGGATTGTGTTTAACACCTAACTTACAAACCATTGTATTTTTCAGTGTTAGTTATGCAGCAAGTTGATACTTAAAACTAAAAAACAGAAAAGTTCGTCTTGATTAATTGCTACAGCTCTTGAATGTTTTGTAAAAGTTAAAACAATATACTGTTTCAAATCTTTCTGAAAATAATGTAATATTTAAATTATTATGTTGCTTTTATAGAGATTTCAGTTTAGCTTTGATCTTTGGAAGAATTGCATACATAATTGCCTAAATGAAGGATTGTCTGTCAAACCAAACCTCTCTCTCTTCAAGAATTATAGATTCAGTGAAAAATATATATTTATTAAAACCTAATTTCAACTGAAAGGAGAAACAAAATGCAAATACCCTTACATGGACCACTGAATAGTGTTTCTTGAAATAGATAAAGAAAAGCCATGGTTGCTATGAATAGAAATAACCTCTAGAATGAAACATGCTAAAATAGTTGCAACACTGAGTAACTTGACTACTCAACAAAATGAAAGTTCTTTACTAAAGATTTCTTCAAATCTCATAGCAACAGCATAATTGAACTTCCAAAAAATACTTGGACCTCCTGTGCTTGTATGTTCAGTTGTGTCTTCTACGCAACGTCTCTAATATTGTTAGATTCTCATCTTAATCATGTACTGCTAAACTGAATTTATATTCATCTTTTCTCGTAATTCACCACATCTCATTTTGTTTCCTGTAACTCAAGTAAGAATTAGGAGAGAAACATAGGGAAATATGATATACATAAAAAGCTAAAGGTTCATTTGATGTAAGATGTATAGAGAACTTGTGACCTTCCTTAATATGTATTATAAGCTAACAACAATTTCTTGTCATTAACTTGTTTGTTAGAAACTATCTTCTTTTGATAAGGTTGATTTATAGACAGAAGCTGTTGTCTTTAACCCTTTCGCTACATAGTTCGGATATATCTGAATAAACATTGACTGTGAATATCAGATTTACCACGTGGCTACCAAAAAAAACGTTTCCCTCTACTGTGACATGCAGGAATATCCCCCTGTACTTGAAACAGTCACCAAACCTGCGTGCATGCTACCATCTGTGTTCTGTGCCTTGAAACCTGGATGTTTATCTGCCTTTTTCCAAAATTACCAATTTTGCCTGAACACATGTAGAATCTGTATAAAGAAAGCTCCTTTATATCTTGGATATTGTTGCCTAAATAATTTTTTTATATTTTGTAATGATCTTGGCCTCTTATTGACTTAGTTTTGCTTATATTTTTGCCATTTACTGGAGAACACTTTCTTCTAATGTTCTACAATATTTTGTTTGAATCATTATTTTTTACTATCCAATACAGTTTTAAAGAAATGCTACTGTCAGATATAGAAAATACTGCTTGTTTCAATATTGAAAAAGTAATACACGGGGTCAAATTTATACTTTTATTTTTTTGGTGGATAATTGGCACTTTTTTGGGAATCAGCCTGAAAATTAATTGTGCAGTGAAAGGGTTAATAGCAATTTACTTTAAAAAAAAAAGACAAATAATGGATGTGGATGAGGAATGAATAAAGTTAGGAGATGAGAAGTAAGACTTGTATGAAGTTATGACGAAGCTTTCCTTAAAATAAACACTTTAAATCACTACAGATGATCTGGAAATTCATGCTGGATGTAATTTATAATTGGTAGTTTTTAAAAACATTTCTGTTGAGAGTTAACTTTAAGTTTTATTATGATATAGCTTGTGGGATATAACCTAGTATTTTGAAAATGTTTGTATTATGTATTAATACATTTTAGTTTTTATAGCTTTCCTGATATGCACATATGAGATGCCTTGCTTTTATGCACTATTTGTATAAAATTTTATAAACCTTAATGCAGTACTGTTGAACTTACATTGTTGTGTTCTCCTATCTCTATTTGTTACACACATTACATTTCTTCATTGTGTTCAGTTGCCATGAAGATTACACAAAGAATATATAGGATTAAAAATACAACCTTCAAATAATTTTTTGTGGTTAAAACACTCTTTGGATCTGACCATTGTATTGTTCTTAGGCCTTCAGTACCTACTAATTATTAATGTATTTAATAGTAGTTTTCTTCTCTAATGTCATATATTATCTCCTTTTAGTAGTTTGTAAAGAAATTAATGTCGCTTTTTTTAGATGAAAATAATCCGAAGAACTTATTTATCAAAACAAAACATTTATTAAATGAAATAGTCTCCATTCTTATCGATGATGCTTTTTCATCTTACAATCAGGTTGTTAATGCCCTGATTAAAGAAATCACTTGGCTTTGAAGCAAAAAACATGTCGATGTCCTCTTTAACACTTTCCACATTTGCATACGTTTTCCCATTAAGATGGTGTTACAGTGAACAGAAAAGATGGTAATCTGATGGTGCCATATCTGGAGAATATGGTGGGTAGGGGAGAACTTCCCAACCCAACTCCATAATCTTGTGTTGCTTCAAACATGCCATATGTGGACATGCATTGTTGGGGAGAAGAAGAACACCTTTCCGATTGAGGAGTGAAGGGTGTTTCTGACGAAGGGCTTGATTTAAACATTCCAGTTGCTGACTATAGATCTCTGCATTAACAGTTTGCTGTGGATTGAGGAGTTTGAAATGAATTACTCCTTTGATGTCCCACCAAATGCAAAGCATCACTTTCTGTGGATGGAGTCCAGGTTTTGGAGTTGGAAGTAGTTCTTGTCTAGGACTGAGCCATTGTTTTGGTCATTTAATATTCGCATAGAGAATCTATTTTTCATCACCAGTGACAATTCAAAAATGGTTCACGTGCATTACGTGCCAGAAGAGATGAAGCAACGTTCACGTGTGGGAAACAATGATCA